GAATTCTGGGAGTTGAAGTCCACTCATCTTAAGTGGCCAAGTTTGGACAACACTGGTCTAGGTAGAGAATTCGGGGGAGTAAGATGGCAACGTTGCTTTCAGTTCTGCCAAAAATACCAACGGTTGGGAGGGAGGGAGTTGCTGTTTTCATTTGCAGGCAGCTGATAGCTTTTTCTTCCTGTCCCTGCTGCTGTATAAGACCTGATGGTTTGTGTTTTCATGTTGTATGATGTTTCTACAGTCGCTTTTTTTTTTTTTAGATTTTTTTTTTCCACCTTTCTTATTTTTATAAATATCCCGAAGTAGCGAACATATCTAATACTCCTTCCTCCTCCTATTTTCCCCGGAACAACAACCCTGTGAGGTGAGTTGGGCTGAGGGAGAGGGACTGGCCCAAGGTCACTCAGCTGGCTTTCATGCCTCAGGCGGGACTAGAACTCACCACCTCCTGCTTTCTAGCCTGGGGCCTTCCCCACTAGATCCAGCTGGCTCGAGCCTGTAGGATATATGCCATCACATTTACTCGGATAGATGGAGGTATGATCTGGTGTACTCAAGCTTCTGTTTTAGCTGTGTAGCATGGGAGTATTTAGTAGCTTGTCTATCCAAAAGACCCGGAGGAGAAATGCCATCCTTTCCCCCAGCTCCATTTGTAGCATTCCTTAACAGCGTTGCTGCCAGCAAGAGGAGAGCCCGATCCGTCAGATCTTATACTTGGGTGAACTGTTGGAGAACTGTCATTTTCAGGCCTTCTGGGTAAGTCAACTTGACCGGTTAACAGATTCACACAGGAGCATATAAAAGGTTGTAAAAAGTGTTTATTTTGCAAGCCCCAAAGACTGCTGTTATTTATTTCATTTACGCAGGCTTATCAGCCAGAAGTGGCTGATAAGCCTGTGTAAATGAAATAAATAAATAACAGCATTCTTTGGGCTTGCAAAATAAATACTTTTGGTACTAGCGGTCCGAGGAACATCTGCAGAACAACACGCTCGTTACGTTGGGTTCTGTGGAGATGCTGTCGTTTAATATGTGCAGGGTGCTTAGGGGGATTGCCGATGTTCTAAAATTATATTTCTGCTGCTTTTTTTAATCTACTGAAATAGCAAATTAAGATCCTTTCGTTGTAGAAAAGAGGACAGGATCTCTCAAGGACCATGTCCTAGCATTGACCAAGATGATATCCTCTCTTACTTCTGATTTTTTAATAATAGCAAGCTCTGGATAAGAATATGAAACTCCTGGATGGGATTGTTGGATTTGAAGATTCTGTTAGGAAATGTAAGTCAAAAGTACTGCAGTTTGCTTGGGGTCTCAGGTAGTGCTCTACATAGGGGATTTTTTTCCCCTTCTGTGTATGTCTTTAGGTATTTGGGAGATTGGGGGCAGAGGGGGATCAAAAAATGAACAAAGTCAAGATAGCAGCCAGAACTGTACAATTGAAGTCCTGCCTGCTTTTGACACCCCCTCCCCTTGCAGAAAACCCTGGTTATAGAGAGATAGTGTTGTGCTCTTCAAGTCACTTTAGTAACAAGTCTTGCAACCCCCCCCCTCACCAAGCTAATCTCTTCCCCCCCTTTAAAGCTCAGTTAAAGTCTGTAGTCTTAACCCTGATTAGGATTCTGAGTGTACCCTTTTCCCTTTGCAGTCATTTGTCATGTAGTTGGAATCACATACCAGCACATTGACCGCTGGCTTCTTGCCAAAATGTTGGGTGATCTAACAGGTGAGTGGCTATAAATGCAGGTGTATAATTTCCTTCTCCTTTTCACACAGGCTCATAAAAATGTTTTGTTGTCCCTTGGAGCCAGCTGATATTTAGAATGGAGGGATATGTGAAAAAAACATGGAAAACTGTGTTTTAGTTACGTATGTAATTTGCAAATACAAATCAGGGCATGTTAAAATGGGAACCAAATGAATTTTACATTTCTCATTAGCTTTCCATGTAGTGAAATTATTTCTGGGTTCTTAGCTGTATTATTCATTTCATTTTCCCCACTCTCCATTGCTTTCACAATTGCGCTGTTCTTAGTATATTTTGTATTAATCATTGTTTTAATAAACTTGAAGGAAGAGAGAGATATTTTCTAATGAAGCACAGAAGTCTCTCTTCCGCCCAGTTCCCACTGCTTGTAACTCTTCTTCGTTGCAGATAATCAGCTGAAGTCTTGGATGAGCAAATACGGCTGGACAGAAACGGAGCCTGGGACGATATTCATCTGCAACCAGGAAGAGAGTATCAAGCCTAAAAACATTGTGGAGAAAATAGACTTTGACAGTAAGCGCCTCTTCTCTTCTCCTGCCCATCTTCCTCCTTTAATGTTTTCTTTCTAAACTAAAAAGGGGGTGACTTACAGATCCTGCTCTTAAAAATTAAAACTGTGCCGAGCCAAGTGTTGCCATATGTAAATGGCATGCACCGTCACTTTTCCCTATCTGGCGTTCTTCTGAAGTGTGGACTTCAACTCTCAAAAGTTGCTGAGGAGAGCAGTTGGGTGTGTGCGTGTAAGTTCTGCTCATTTGGAAGGTAGAAGTCTAGTACAGTTGCTTTCTGTTTGCTAATTATTGGAAGCGGTGCTTACTCATATTCACTCTTTTGACTTGATGAGGTCCATAAGCAGGCAGATCCTTACAACCATCATGACATTAGGAGCTGAACTACCTGCCAGTCGCAATGCTCTATCCCCAGTAGAATGGCAGCCTCTGTTCAGCCCTAGCTTTAAAATATCTCCCATTCCTTTGCTTTCTCCAACACACGATTCAGGAACAGAAAGAAAGGTTTGGAGGTTTCTGGATCTACCTCTCTCACTCCCCATCAGGACTCTTGCTGTGTGGACTGTCACAGTGCTGCTGGGCAGTGGAAAGGAGGCGGTTGAGATCAATCTGTTTAGGGGGTTGTTTTAGGGGCACTTGCGGGTACATGTGCGTGATAGATGTCATCTCCTGAAATGCACGTCCACTTCCCTTCCGACAAATCAGAGATGTTAGAGTAGCCCTGCCCTAGGAAGGCATGGTCAGGGTTGACCTCAAGAGGCCCTGAATGGCAAGGTTGGTCCTCTTCAGTATATCAGACTACAGCCCCTATTCTCCATCCAATATGGTTATGCTAGTTGAGGTGGATGGGAGTTGTAATCATCTGCAGAATGCTTGTGGAAGTTCATCTGGATCAGCCAAAGGCAGTTTCATATTCTGAATGTCTTCTCTCTCTCCCTCTTCACCACCCCCTTCCCCCTCTGCTTTCTTTCAGGTGTTTCCAGTATCATGGCTTCTTCCCAGTGACGCCACAGCGCTCTCCTTATTCACCGTACTAATTCTAATCCCTTTTTAAGAGCGTGGCCAATAAACAGCTCTCTGACTCACCAATAGCCTATATAGCTGTGGCCTCAGTCTTGCTTCGTGGCTTCTGTCAAGCGTGGGCAGTTCTCATGGACCTGGCATGAAGCCCCCCCAAGAAAGGGTCCTGAGCCACATGGGTTATCTGCAGGTGTTCACCCCTGGCCCAGGACCATGCCATCAGTGGGTAAGGGGCACTCCTTGAAATCCTGCATCAAGGCTTAAAGGTCTCCTTGCCCCACGCCTGTATAAGTCCCTGGAAGGGCAACAGTCAGCCAAATTCTCCATGGATCGCCTTTCCAAATGGCCTGCAGTCAATTGCTCTTTCGATGCTGAGCTTTGGAACAGGAGCGAGAGCTTCAGCTCAGGCCAGGTTTTGGCCCAAGGGCTTCTGAAAGCTGTCTTTGTGTCTGTCAATGCGCTTAGCGGGGTAAGGAGGGAAGAGTATGCAGAAACAAGGTGATAAATGCACCCATTTTAGCTGTCCATCAACAAGCAAGGTCAGAGTGGGTAGGTACATCTTTCTCCCTGGATTGATTCCTAAATTCATCTATTGATTAATAGATTTCAAGAACGCCTGACTCCAACTAACACTGTGTGCCTTACATAGTAAAAAGCCAGAGCAACAGAATAAAGAAACAAATTATATGTGTCCAGAAAAAAAAAAACATGGAAAACAGGTCAAAATCTTACACGGGGGCTCACCAGCCTCCCTGCCCCAAAGCCTGGGAGAATAGCCAGGTTTTTAGTGCCTTTTGGAAGATCATCCCAAACCATCATTGTTAGATTGTCTATTTCTCCAAGCAGAATCAGAGCGTTGTGACCTCTCCTTTACGTTGAACCCTCCAAGCACCTGCGTGTAAACGTGGGGCAATCCGATTGTGGCACAGGCTGTGCTGTTCTTCTAACCTCCACTAGATGGGGGTGGGGAGCCGAAGGAAGGAAGGAAGGCCTGGGAGTTGGGAATTTCTGCTTGCTCAGGGAGCAAGGAGCTGTTGCAATCTCTGTCAATCTTAACCCGTGCGAAGGGGGAGAGGAAACAAGAATTCAGGGTGGCAAGGACGGCCAAGCGCCCTTCCTCTCTGATGACAACTTCTATTGGGAGGTACTTTTGCCTTAAAGCCACTTGGTGTAGTGAGCAGAGTCCAAGGGAAGTGGTTCTCCAGCAACGAGGTCAATTTAGGTGCAGTTATTCACATGCAGATTTGGACTTGTTCATGCAGGTCCTTCTAGCAGGCATGACTCATGAGGTGTGGTCGGTAACTGGCTCCACCCCTTGAGCTGGGCGAGGCTGGGAAGGAGGGGGGCTGCCAGGTTGGAATAAGGCTCCTCTGCAAAGCTCCCTGCCCCGATCCCGTGGCAGCTCCTGACTTCCCTTTCTTAGGCTGGGTGATTCCAAGGAGGAAGCCACGGGAGAGGACCCTCTTGCTTCTGGCTCCCCTGCCGGCAGCAGTGACCTGTGTTGATGGGTCCCTTGGAAGGAACGGTCTGCTTAAAAGGGCCTTGAGCTTCAATGAATACTGGAGAAACTGCTCAAGGAGACCGATTGTTTAGGGAAAGTTGCTGGGCTTTTGTCGGCGCATCGCGCTCTGCTCTCCCAGGCTCATTTTGCATCGCCGATCTCAGCCTGCAAAAAAAGCAGCTCGCTTTGCAATCTCCCTGGATGCCCACCTGGGAGCTGGCCTGAATAAAGCGTCTCTCTGGTTGGCCTCGGGGCTGGGAACCGGGCCCAGAGCCTCCGAAACGGGGAAGAAAGGCCCTGCTGTTCCCTGTAAACTGATTCTACCTGAACAAACGTCAGAAAGGACCCAGGCGGGCCTTCCCATTTCCTGAGGCTTGCGGGAAATTGCCCAAGCTGGTTTTATAAACACTTCAGCGTTGCTTCTATTTCTATTCTTATGGCTCGCAATCTTCAAATTCCTTCAGTTTTTTCCTAAACCAATGCTGGGAGGTCACGAGGTTAAGAGATCGTGACGGGCCACCGCCATGCTGCGTTTTCCTGCCGTTCCTAATCTGGAAACTTGCGCAGCAAATTTTTCGATCCTTGGACTGTCAGATCAGTTTATCATCTGGGCTTTTTCCTCCAGTGATTGGCGTGGATTGCCCCGGGAAGGGTGGTGGAAGGACTCTGGGAGCTCAGAGTCCATTTCCCAGGTTTATAGGTTGATCTCTGAGGCTGGATTCCTTTTTATTCGCTTTTGGTCGGTGCCATGAAGAAGGGGAGCAAGGGTCTCCTGAAGAATTCTTACTCGTTTCTCCAGTTGGCCTGTAGTAACTGCTCTCAGGGTTATGCTCAGGGCAAACACATCTAAAAATAAAGGCATCATAAAGTGACTGTCAGTTAAAATAGTCTGCAGAACCGTCAAAGATTAAAATAGCATTAACCAATTTTCTCTCCTCTGACTTCAGTGCAACATATTTAGCTTGTTTTCTTCTGCTACGCATTGCCAGAAAGGTGTGATGTGAAGAGCAGCTAAGACAGTGTTTCTCCACCTTGGTCATTTTAAGATGCGTGGACTTCGACTCCCAGAATTCCCCAGCCAGTCCATCTTAAAATGGCCAAGGTGGAGAAACACTGAGCTAAGGGTTTGAAGGACTTAGGTCTGCCTTGGACTACATTTTCAGAATGTCATTTATTTATTTATTTACAGGGCTTATATGGCCGTCTATCTCATAGATCCTCGTTTAGCAACCACAACTGGGACTGGCAACTTGGTCGTTAAGTGAAGCAGTTGCTAAGCGAAACCGTGACTGTGCTTATGATCTGACTTAGCTTTCCTTTACTTTATAGACCTGCGAAAGAGATCAATGCGAGGACTGGTTGCAAAGTTACTTTTTCATCACTGTTGTAACTGCAAACAGTCACTAAATGAGGCAGTTGCTAAACGAGGACGACCTGTATAATGATTCTAGGTGGCTCACAACAATCCATAAAAATATAGCTAAAAACAAAAGTGCCCTTCTGCCCAAGGGCCAGACCAAACAGCCTACCAGCTCAACTCCCATCCTAGCTCAATGCTTGGGGGAAGAGCCAAGTCTTCGTGGTCCTCCGTAAGGCTAAAAAGATAGGGGCAGTTTGGATCTCGGGTGGGAGACCTGAGGCGAGCATCTGTCTTGGGAATCCAACCTCTAATCCAGGGCTTGTGAGTGCTAGTTTTGCTTGCCCAGTTGTAAGTGAAAAGCTCTGGGCTTGTGGCCAATGACACTTCAGATTAGCTAGAGCAAACTCTGAGTTTGTGTGTTGCTGAAAAGAACTTCCAAGAGAAAGGAAACACACATTTTTGGGTTCTTGGTGTTCTCTGAGCTTGGTGGTTTTCCTTCATTACGTTTCTGCAGATGATTTGTTACCAAGCTCAGAGACTTCCTGAGCTTTCTGTTGGGAAACCCAACGGAACCCAGCATGAAACCCAAGAAGGATTGGTGTCCAAAAGTGGGGAATATCTGTTGCTCGGGATTGAATGGTTGGGTTCTTGGTGTTCTCTGAGCTTGGTGGCTTTCCTGCAGGCGGTTCATTACATTTCAGCAGATGATTCGTTACCAGGATAGGGAGCATGATCAGCGCACAGGGGAGGGACATTTACAAAGTTCACTCTCCTACACACTGACGATGTTCCCTCACCTGGTCACGAAACGTCTCAGAGAAGACCAAGAACCCAACCGTTCAGTCCCGAGCGACAGATGTTCTCCACTTTTGGACACCAACCCTTCTTAGATTTCATCTTCCTGCCATTTTCCTACAGTCCAACAGCAGGGTTGCATTCTTTAACAGTAAAGTAGCCAAAAGCCAATCAGGTCTCTGCTGAAAAAAATTGAGAAATGCTATTGTCCTGTAGCTATCCCCCTCTGACAAAGCTGGGAAGACTACAGGATTTCTATTCATAAAGAAGATTGATAGCCTCATTTCAGAGGGAGCGGTACCACTTCCTCTTAGCCACCTATAAGACATAATAAAGCAATTGTCAAGTAAAACAGTGATAAAACCTGGGGGCCTCCAGGCACCTCCTTCCTTAAAGGTAGACTTCCCTTCCCTTGTACCTTCAGGTATAAGACTTTACTAGCTCCCTTAGGAAGAAGAAGAACATCTGCATCACGGAGGCCCAGATAGGATGTCGCAGTGCCTGCTCTTTGGGACAGTATGCCCCCGAGATTCAATTGACTCCGACTCTGCAGGCTTTTGCAAAGCATTGAAGATACGGATGGGGTCCTGGGCTTGGACATCGGAGCCCTCATGGTTGTGGCTTTTAACTTATCACCTTTACCTCGGCTGTCCTGACAAGCCTTCTTGTGCTGCTTTTATGTGTTTTTAATTGGGTTTTTTATTTCTTGTTAGCCACCTAGAGCCACTACAGTGAGACGGGCAGCTGTATCGATCAAATTTAATCCATCTAATCGATCAAGCACGCTGGGTTTGGCTTTACATCGTTGGCTCAGGCTGGACACGCCTGACCTCTTTGCTCAAGCTGCCTTGCATTCTGGTTGGGAAATTCAAATGTACAAAACATATGTCCTCAATTCTTTCCGGGAGGAGTAGGCACCCTGTGGCCACCTTCAACCCTCAGAGCCCCCTCCCCAAAGTGTTATCTCTGAAAAGTTATGGTGTCCAAAGGCTGTCCCTTTTGTTAGAGGTTAGAGCAGGGTTTCTCCACCTTGGCAGCTTTAAGACGTGTGGACTTCAACTCCCAGAATTCCCCAGCCAGCATTTCCTATTGGGAATTCTGGGAGTTGAAGTCCACACGTCTTAAAGCTGCCAAGGTGGAGAAACCCTGGGTTAGAGAAAAGACAGGATGTAAACAGAACAGAACTGACCCTACAAGAGAGGCTTATTTAAAAAAAAAAAAAACGATGGTGGGAATGCTCCGTGCCCAGGCATGAATCCGAAAAGCAAGGGAGATGTTACGGTCCAAGCACAAGCAAATGGTTCGGTGCCAAATAGGTTGCACCC